GAGGTTGCTGTGGGAGGTACTGCAAGGTGGAGGCAGTCTGGGGAGGCTGGGTTTGAGCAGGGCCCTCAAGATACCCCTCAGAAGCCCCTCTGCTCCTGTGGACTGAGGCCTTCATGAACCAGCCTTTACCAGTTTTACAGTCTTGGGAGTTTCTGAAGTTTTTGAAGCAAAAAGCTTGGCATGACACAGGCGGCAGGTATTTACTTGGTGCTCGAATCGAGCTGTTTTCCAGCAGTTTAGCACAGCCCCCTCTAGAAAGGAAGGGTGAAGCTGAAAGCACCAAACCCAGACCCTGTTTTGGGCAAGAGGGTGGGATATCTCCCAGCACTTCAGGATCCAAGGACAGGGGAGTTGAGAACAAGAACTGCAGGCTGGGACACAGAAAAGCTAGGTCATATTCCTGATCTGCTGAAGAATATGAGCATATATTATTAGTATCCTTGGATTAATCAGTTAATCTCTCTATGCCTTAGTTTCCTGTTAGCAAATGATACTCCTTATCTTTCACCTCTCATCTCAGCAGAGAAAAGAGTTTGTCTTTTAGTATGTCTCTTATTACAGTTTTTTGTCTGGTGACTGGGGCCCTCTACCTTGATAAAATAAGTAATTGAATTTAGATTAAATGGTCTAACATAATCCTGCCCAGTGGTTACTAAAACACTTGAATGAAAGTTCATTCTGAGCCTGTCTTTCCATTTCCTCATAAGGCCAAGACATGAAGTAATTAGATGTAGATGTAGGTTGTTATTGTAGCACAATGACAGAGATCAGTGGTTATTGGTAGGAATGGCTTTTATAATCTAGTTTAATGGTCATTTACCTTTCAGTGACCTTGGTGTCAGACAAAATTGGCAGCTCTTTTGCAAGGAATGTGCTTCCTCAATGAGGTCTTTGCAGGCTGCTTCATTCTTGGCTCTAGCTTCTCATGAACTAGGATAGACACTGCTGCAATGCAAGAGACTTTTCTGTCTGCAAAGAAAGGCATAGACTCCTGCCAAAAGAAGCCCTTTTAAGTACTCTCCCTACTGCCACTGAATTTCTGTTGAAACAGATCAGTTGTGTTTAAAGCATTTCTTTGCTTATTGCTGTGACCAAAGTTGCAGACTTCAAACCCAGAGAGTCTGCAGTGGGCAGAGGCAGCCCAGGAGTTTCTGTAAAAAGGGCATTGTCTTGGAGTCAAAGGAGGGAGAACATATCTCATCATCCAGTTAAGTTCATGCAAGAGGAAGGAGTTGGTATTTCTGATTGTAAACCCCCCCATAAGTCCTTATTACATCAGTAAAGACGTGATATTTCTATACACTTTAAAATACACTCCTTTCAATGATGATCATCCACTCACTGCAGATGCAAATTGTAGGTTTTCCAGTGACTGTGATGCTCCTACACCTCTCTCCAATGTGCATTCTGAAATCCTAATGGGTTTTATCCAGTTACTGATGCCTTTTGCCATGGAGAAGAACATGACATGAGCTGTGCTGTGATTTCTAATGGTACCCCAGATCTGTGGCCATGCTTTGTAAGAAACTGGAGTAGGTCATATCCTGGGGCTTGAGAGGATTGGACTCAGTACAGGTATTCACAGTGATCTTGGCCAAGCCTCTTAATTCTTCTGACAGTCTTAACCTTAGAGGTAATCTCCTGTTTTCCATGAAGCAAAATGAATTTTTGCAAATGGTATGGATGTATTTATTTGAGATGGTACCAGAAAGATTACTTGAGTTACAAAGAAGTGCTATGAGAGTTGAGAAGAGTGATGTAGCTGTGGAAAAAGGTTTCACAAAAGCACCTCTAAGAATTGCACTGCCTTGTGACTTGGGCTTCTGTCTACTTCTGATTCTCTCATTCTGCTGCTCACAGCCATTTGATTTTGCAAGTATGTTCCTCGCATCTGCAACTATTGCCCTGCAGAGCAAACCTAGCTACAGGAATTACCTCTTTATGTGCTCTCGTTTCTAAACTGCTAAGGTAAGGAGAGCAAAACAGGGCAGCTTGGAGGGAGAACCATTTGTTTCAGGCTACTTTGGATAACCACCAACCTGGTTTTACCATGAGCATGTTCCGTACATCATCACCACAGCACGATAGGTCTTTAGCTGAGATCAGTCAGTAACTTCCAGCATTTGAAATCCTGAGATTGTTTGATGTATAAGGGCTCTCTGTTGTTTTTAATCCTATTGACCTGCTGGCACCTGCCGTGATGCTTGCTTGCACAGAAGATCTTATAGGCCCTCATCATATTAGTTCTTCTTACTTCCCACATTCATCAGTCTGATAAGTATTAGCTTGTGCTATTAGCTCTGATATAAGAGAAGGAATGGTCAGTGGTGGTTTGTTTTTGCAGGTATCAGGTTTGGATTGGGAATGTCCAGCTGAGATCAGTGAGATACTTGCATAGGAGCAGATGGTTTATATACTGCTTCTTGCTGGAGAAGAGCAAGATTAATCTCTCTTGAGTCCCTGAACTCTGAATCCATTCAAGGCTGACAGAGTCTTTCCACTGACCTCTGTGGCCCCAGGATCACATCCTAAATGAGCTGCTTTGAGTCTCTAGAAGCCTGAGTTCAGCTTTGGTGGGTTGGAAAATGTAACCTACTGTATGGACTGTGCTATTCATAAGCACTCAGCCTTGTGTGTGCTCTAGCTGTGGATGCCTGGGAGAAGAATAAAGTCATTTTCTGCAGTCGTGGGGGTGGAAGAGGGAATGGGAATTGTACCCCCTTCCCTGCAAACCCACTGTCGTGGCATCCACGTGAGCAGATGTTGGGAGCTGACCCACTTCTGGAGCTTCAAATTCAGGTTATGTGTTCTTTGTGCTGTTTCTTCTGATATCACCCCGACACATAAATGTCCTGTCCAGCTGGCCTGACCAGTAGGAACTGACCTCAATTTAAATTTTCTGAAGTGGGCCACTGAAGCAGATGAGTATAGCATGGCTGTGACTTCCCCTAGTGGGGTTTTCTTAAACTTAGAAGAAACAGGGTCCCTAGAGTTTGAGAGGAGTCGGTTATTTAACACCAAATCTCACAGTTCATTGCTTAATGGTATCAAGTGGCATCTAATATTGTCGTCAGCAAATACTACCTGTTTCCTCACAGTTTATGGAAAAAAGCTGCTGTTTATTGAAGTGATGCTTGTTTTCTCTGGGCAGAGCAGCAGCTAGCAAAACCATTCAAGTCAACACAGCACAATGCAGATGTTTTCCACTCCCTACTGGTCCTAAATCAGACTGAAGAGAATTAATTTGGTGTAGAGGGTATAAAATGAAGTGTGAGTAACTACCAGTTGGTCAGTTCCTCTGGAGCTGTTATTGATTGATCTGGAGTTGTTAGACTTTTACAGTCAAGCTAGTGAAGATTAATACAGTTTGAGAGCAGTAGCAAGTTTTCTCAATTAGTGTCTAGCAACATAAACCTTTACAGTATAATTTGTGCTATATTTATCAATTTTCTAACTTGTATTCACCCAAGGAAAGTTGCCTCGTGGCGAGAGATGGGGGAGTAAGAAGGTGATGGCTATCTCCTGTCCTTTAACAAATGTTCTTTGTCACTTTGGAGGTGATAGCTCTTTGAGCTAGAGATACTCAGATGTTTTGTATTATGAAACCAAAATAATAACACTTTCCTAGTTCATTGGTGTGAACTGTGACTCTTAGGGGTACCATGGGATCATACGATGTGGAAATGCTGTAAGTAAAGGGAATGGAGCATTGTCCAGTTAAGCTATCCATAAGTCACATTCCCTGGTGGTGTGCTGAGGAGTCATTGCCTGGCTGGCAGCGTGGTGGTGTCAAACCCAAGCTTCACTGCCCATCTCCTCCACAGATCCTCAGCATGAGGGACTGATGGAGCAGGGTAGCAGGGGAGCCTCCAGAAGGGAGGAACAGTCCCGGCTGGGTTTGGCCTGTTTTTCCCACACACTGTCATTCTTGTGCCGGCGCTTCCTCTCTGTCCACATAATACCCTGTTATTTCCTCTCCAGAATGGGCTCCTGCCACTGCTGCTAATTAGCCCGCGATAAACCTTGGTGTGAACAAAAGCAAGCAATTAAACGTCTGTTGCTTCAGCATGAGCCCTGTCAGCGAAGTGATTTGTTGGTGGCAGAGCTGTGTAGCACCTCCCCAGGAGGAAAACAAACCCATTGGCCTGGCTCAGCTGCTGGTGCTGGGGAGTGGTGTGTCCCAGCTGCTTGTTTCAGGTGTGCAGGCATGTCTTTGGTACAACAGGGTTTCCCGAGGCTCTGAGAGATGCTGCTGTCTTAAATTCCACATGGTACAATGATCTGTGAGGCCACTACCCAAGCAAGATAGCTTGAGAAGTTTCTGAATTGTGGTTTATGTATGTGGGGGTTTGGGGAAATTTTTTTGTGCTCTTTTTGGAAGACACACATAATAAACATTTTCAAATCAATACAGAGAGAGAAATAATCATAGAATGAATCAAAAAATCATAGATTGGTTTGTGCTGGAAAGGACCTTAAGTATCATCTGGTTCCAACCTCCCTTCTACGGGCAGGGGCACCTTTCACTAGACCAGGTTGCCCAGGGCCCCATCCCTCCCAAGCAAGGAGGAGGCTTAGAAAGAGAAAGCAAAAGGCAGGGCTTTGGTAGATCCCAAGCCAAATGAGGCTTGAGTGATGTTTGCCAGGACTCACGATGCAGGTATCAAGATCTTGCAAGCTGCTTTCATGTAATCTCAGCCCTAATGCTCAGAGTTCCTCAGGTTTTCCCACTTGAGGAAAAAGTCCTATTGGAAGAAGAATAGGTACTTACATAGGATTTCACTGGTGTATGAACAGACTAAGGGAAGTTGGAGACTTTTTCAGTTTGGGACCCACTTTCTTTCCAAAAATAGAGGTAGGGCTCAAGCTGGAAAATTAAATATGAATTATTTCTGGGCAGAAAAATGCAAAGAGTCTTGGAGCACATGGAATTAATGTATGTCCTCTTTTGACACACAACTCAACTGCTTTGCCAAAAGTTGTCTCTGTTTCTGTTGTAGCTCTCGAGCAGCTGCTCACAGAGCTTGAAGATTTTCTGAGGATACTGGACAAGGAGAACTTGAGCAGCACTGCTGTTGTGAAGAAGAGCTTCCTGTCTGACCTTCTGCGAGTCTACACCAAGTCCAGTGGTATGGCATGGAAAACCACGGATGGGGCAGTGGGCTGTCATGGGAATTGCTGCAGGGTCTTGGAGCAGCATTTTTTTGGAGGCTGGTGGGAAGCAGAGACATGAAAATTAGACAGAGAAAATGAAACCGAGTTTATTTTTGCAATGACCTCTAATTGTTTATGTAAAATTACTATAGTTATGTGTCCAGCTTTACAAGCAAAGGATTCCCAAGATTCCTGATCCTTTCTGTTTTCCATATTAAATCTTAAGTTTATTTAATCCACTTTGTAAGATACACAGGATGTACTGTTTGGCCAAGTTAATGTTTAAGTAGAAGTTTTAACTTACGGAATTTCCTGACTATAAAGCACTCTATTTTTCAGCTTTTTATTATTGCTTGGGGTTTTTCCTGCACGTTTTCTCAACCAACATTCTCTCCCCACATGTACTTAGCGGAGACACTTTTTACGTCTGTCTTTGTGGAAAAACTTAGCACTGTAAAAGCAACATGTGGGTATAGAGTTCACTTTTCCCTTTGGTTGCAGGTGGCGATGAGGAGTATATTTATATGAACAAAGTGACAGTCCATAAACAGCAGGGTGACCAAGACGACCACGACAAAGGTAGGGAGCTAAAAATTAATGGTTGCATCATGTCTAACAGGGTGATGAAGGCACACACAGTTAGAGCCTTCCTCTGCTGGTGCTCTGGCGGCTCTGAGGGCTGGTGCAGTTGATGGTGTGGAAGGACTGCCATTTTCGTAACATTCCCTTGGAAATAGTGGTCCTTGCCAGCACTGTGAGGTTATTCCTGGAAGTAGCACTTTGGAGGTCTTTATTTTAGGATAAAAATGTTGCCTTCTAAGGCTTGAAGCTCCAGTGGCTGAAATATTTAAAGAAGCCTTCATGCTTTCTTTGGCCACGAAACAAGTCACTTCACCTCTTTGAGACCTCGAAAAGTATGTGTCTTCTTTGCTGTGTTGCTCTGCTCTGGCCCAGATGCTCTGTGTCATCACTGAAGCAAGTTCTTGGGCACAGCTTGCACCCTTACCATCTGCACAGGCAGAGTACCTTCATCTCCCAGGGATGCATGAGTTCTGTGGTGTACAAGCCAAGAAATTAAACCTAGATAAAACATTCATTTCCAATTTAGATTAGCCAGGTTTTGAATTTGTAACACAGCAAATAACATAATTGTCTAAAAATGTTCTTCCTCTTTGAAGTTCATCGTGAAAGTTGTTCTTGATAGTTGTGTGGAATGCGATTACTAGTGACACACATCTCCTTAGTGCACTCCTAGTTAGAGGCTGGTCCTACCCCAGAGTTTCCAATCGAAAGGGATGAGACAAGGACACCTCAGTGCAGCCTGCTGTTGATGTGCTGGTCCTCCAGTAGTTGGGATTGCTCCACTTCCGCAGTTGTTTGTTTTAGTTTTGTTGCTTTGTGGTGGGGTTTTTTGTTTGTTTGCTCTGTTTTGTTCTTTAAACTACCTGCAGCTGAATTTGGGTTAAGTTCAAATGCCCCTGAAGACAGGATGTCCTCCCAGATTACGCATGCAGGCCCAGCATGATCTCCAGACAGGGCCCTCTGGGTGATGCTGTAATGCTCTATAACAGGATCACACAGCTTCCCAGTAGCACCCAGCAGTTTAGCAGCAACAGAAATATCTCTTTATGCAAGTTCATTTGGGTGGATAAAGCAAGGCTTGCACTCATCTGCCATGCTGAAACACGGGGCAGATTTCAGAAACTTTATTTTTAGGTTTAGGTTCTTTTATTTCAGACTTTTCCCTATCAAGGCCATGAGCCTGCCCACTCTGTCACTCCCTGTGGGACCTGGCACTTCTCTCTTTCTCTGTTTTCAACAACCTCCCTATTCCAAGTAAAATTTCTGAGTTATTTGGAAATGCTGAAGTCAGTAAGACACATGTGTGGGATCTTAGCCACAGCTGCAGCTGGGTGTACACCCTGATCTTGTCTCTGTAACTGGATGGAAAGGTCTGTGCCTGCAGGTTCAGGTCTAGCAGAAGGAGGGGGCCCTGGTACCCATTGGTGATAGGGGATGTGATATGGATCTCCCTGTGATTCTGCAGCTCCCTTTACCCTTTTCATCTACTGCCAGTCTGTGCATCAAAGGCCTGTGATGGGATGGGGGGAGAACACTTTTGTGGCTGAGGCCAACAGGACCTCTTGTGCCCTGCAGAGTTTCTTCATCACAGTAGCTGTGCTCAAGTGTGCTCTAGCAGCATGGGGTGAAGTGCTTTCCAAAGTGATAGTACATCAGCTCCAGAAGTCCCACCTCCAAACTTCAAAATATGCTATTTCTGCAAAAACTCTGACTGCTCTCTGTATCTGCTTGCAATTTCATCAATAAGGATTTAAGCTGAACACAACACTGCTTTTGTGGCACGTTAATTGAATTTGCTGCTGTGGGTGATGAAGGCACCATCATTTACTTGATCTCATGTACTAGAGAAGTACCACAAGTCTCTACCCTGTAAGTCCACAGGGCTATTCAGTGAGCCAGATGCCATCTCCTGGAAGTTAGCACTGTGGGGCAGGAGTCTGGGAGGTGGGACTGATGTGGTGGACTCTTAGCCCAAATACCAGGTAACATTCAGTTTTTCAAAGAACAGAGAGCACAGATAAGTAACAGGTAGTACAGATGTGAATTTTAGCAGGATTTTGGCTGGGTTTTCTTTTTCCTTCTCTTTTCTAAATTCTTTCCAAACTCCAGGTTTTAGAGAGACATCTTTATCAGAGGACACTTGCAAAGTGTTAGTGCTCATCTAGGGAAAAATACTCCTTCCCTCCCATCCCCGTAAGGAAACAGCCTGTGATTTGTGGTGCTGGCATGTGTAGCCAGAGAAGGAAGGGGTATGTACAGCATTTGCTGCGTAGACTCTCCATACTGAAGGCAGGCGTTGGATGCTTGTCCTCATACACTGGGCACAGCAATAGCTGCCCTCTACCACCACAGAGCAGAAAACCCTGGAACATCTTCCAGGGGTCTTGTCAGGATGAAGGTTAAAGTGGCAGTTCTTCTTTCAGAGAGCCTGAAAATCAAAGCTCCATCTCATCCTGCTCTGCTCCTCAGCTGGAGTACATGGGCACGCGTCCATGGAGGTGGGCAGGTTTCCAGCAGGGTGAGGACTGAAGCTGTGGTCTCCATCCCGTGCTCCAAGGGTGGTGGGAGGAGGAGGAGGAACTGCTGGTACAGAAATCAAACAGCATTTTCCTGGCACAGTGAGGCTCAGTGGGATGACTGCTGGGTTTTCTGGAGAATCAAGGACAGATGGACACCACTTGTGAAGGGTTTGACAGTGGTTTTTGCTGCTGCAATGATTTCTCCTCCTTGGAGCTGAGCAGGGGAGGCTCTGCCTGACACAGGTGGATGCGAGTTGACTTGTCTGATTCTCTCTGCTCAATAGGCCCCTAAAAAGTTCCCTGTGTAGACAACCATGAGTGCTGAGATAATCCCCTTTTGGGGAATAGCCACTGCAGCTTTAGGAAATCTTAACCTTGTTTTTGGTGCTTACAAAAGTAGCAATGGCCTCAAGCAGGTGCTGTTGATAGAAGGTGTCTTACCCTGAGAGTGCCACGTTGTTGCTCCTTTACAGAAGAGGCCAACAACCTGCAACAGCAGCCTGTAGGTGTGACTCTGGCAGTATAATCATGGGGTATTTTGGTAGGTGGATCTCCCCATGATCAGTTGTTGTCATAGGCTCACCTGCTTTACTCTCACCTGCTTTAGTGTGAACTTTACAAGGCATCCAGGAGCCCTACTTGTGGGGTGCAAACAGCTGCTTAGAGATGGTGTCTGTTCATCCGTGGACCTCTGTGTCCTCATGACTTATCAAAGTCAGCTAGTGCTGATGACCAGGAGACCAGCATCAAAGGGAGAAATCTGTCACAAGAGACATGTTTTGGACTTTTGTAGCATCAGGCCAGGCGCTGCAGGCTGAAGCCTGGCAGGGCAGAGCTGTTATTGTGGCTTCCGAGCCCCATGAACAGAGTAATGTGGTTTCCAGCTTCTATTTTTAAAGCCCAGAAATATGCAACAAAGTTCTTGCTCATATATTCTGAGCACAGTACTGACTGTTGCTGGGCACTGTGTGATGTCTTGGTGGTTTCTGTTTGTGCCCAAGGAATGTGGCTGGAGCATCAGCAGGTGACTGGGGAGCCGCAGCATCAGCTCACTCCAGATTTTGGAGCTAATTTCCTTACTTAATTTACTGGACTTGCAATATCTGGTTACCTTAGCCTCATTTCTCCAAGGTATTTGATGACAGACACTGTAAAAGGGAACTTTCCCTCTGTACAAGATAATGCCTTCAAAGTCTATAAATTTCCAGCCATTTGTGCCTTTCTTTACTTGTTCCCGAGCATTGCAGTATCTCAGAGGTCGTGGGATTTGGGCACTTAAGTTTGAGGCCACCTAAGGATTCTGTGGTGGAGGAAGAGGGGCTGAACACAAGTTTTCTGAGCCTTCAGTGTACTCCTCCAGCTACTGAATCACTGCTTGGAAAATCTGACCCTCCAGAGGCAGCCCCGGGTTGCCTGGAGTGGTTGTGCTGCCATATGCCCTTTCACATGTTTGGCCTGGGCTGCTTCAAGAGCAGCTCTTTCTTCAGCAGTGATTACTCTGTGGCTGACTTTTTTAAGCCATTGTGCAGTCAGCTAGACAGCCACCTTTGCAATTTGCCCTGGGAGCTGGGTGGTGTTAGGTCCAGTTTTTGGGAAAGGCAGCAGAGGAGCAGATAGTCACCAACCTGTTTGCTCACAGCAGCAAGGATCAAAGCTAACAAGGACTAAAGTGCCGTGGATTTCCAGATACTGTGTAGTGTCTGCCCATGCTGCTTCTCAAGACCCTTTAAAGTCTCAGCAGTGGGTCTGGCCTTCACAGAAGGAAAAACGTGCCCTAAAACCAGAGGTCAGCTCTTTTGCTGGGTCTCCTAGTGTCACATTCCTGGCTATGGCCTGAAATGACATGGTGGCCCTGCAGCCCTGCCTATAATTGTCACTGTGCTTTCTCCTGAAATAGCACCTCGCTGCTCCAGCACAGCCCAGGGTAGTGAGTGTTCTGCTGGGAGGTGCCACATGTCATCAATATAATTGTGATTCTGGCTTGCAGTGCTGGATCAGAGAAACTCCTTGACCAATGGAGACTCAGGACTGCATTTGTCACCTCCTCAGAAGAGCCTGCCAGACCTTCCCCCTCCCAAGGTAAGTTTTGTACATCCTTTGCTTTCCTGGGGATCTGAACCCCTTGACGCTTCACTGTTGTCATGCACCGTGCAGCATGGCTGGATGGAGAGACCTCTGCCCACGGGAGTGAGTGAGGCAAAGAGTCCTGGTGAGCTTTATTTAAAAAATAGTAATAAAATATTGAACTAGGGCTTTCCAGCTGTATGTTTCATCTTTATGTAGACTGCAGGTCAGTGTGTGGCTGGTGCAGGCGCTGCAGCTGGCTGGTGGCCTGGGATGGCTGGGCATCCAGAAACCCCTGTGGTTCCCAAGGCTTGTGCACAGATGGAGCAGGCAGCTGTGGGAACCTTGAGCTTCCTGTGAGTGTGCAGGAGCACTGGGAAAATTGGGCTGTGTTCCCCGCTGGGGAGACCCATATCTGTTGCATGGCAATCCAGGCTCAAAGAAGGAGAAGTGAGATTTTCAATGAAACAAAGGTGATGGTGGTTCTTGGCTGTTGCTTCGGAAATCTCCTGAGTGGTAAAGCAGCTGTGCCTGGACTGCTGACATGAACTTGTAAAAGTCAGAAATCCTTCAGCTGCAGGGTGCTGGGGTGGTCCCTGGGAAGTACCAGGATCTCCCTTGCTGGCAGAGTCTTCCTCAGTTTGGCCATTACCAGAGGTTTACTTACAGTTGCAGCACCTGGTGCTGTCTCTGCATTGGGTGCTGGTGTTATGCTGGTTGCACAGCCCACAGGTCTGCGAGGAGGAGTTTCTGGCACTGTAGATTTTTCTGTAGGGCAGCTATAAATCAGGTAAACACCATCAGGTTTCAGTGAGATGTTGTCTCCGTGCCAGCCAGCCAGCCTGGCTGTCCTAGAGAGGCACAGGTCATCCTTGAGACCCTGGATGATGTTGTTTAGTAGTTGATGCAATGTAGGAATTGCTGTAGCTGGGATTTCAGGATGTGAAAGGAAAGGAGGGCAGAGAGTATGTATGGGGAGGAGGGGGAGGCATGGAGGAGGATGGGATGGTGCATCCATCAACCACAAAGGAGGATCCACTCCTTTCCCAGGAAAGAGGGCAGGGTGAGGCCCCAGGACTGTTACCCAGAGGGCTATGTCTCAGCTGGAGTTAGCTGGAGAATCTGGGAAAGCAAGGGGGTAGGATGGGATGAGCTGACAAACCCCTGGATGCAGTGTGATTGCCTGCTGGGAGCTGCTCCAGCCCCTGAGGGCTCTGCCCACACAGCTGCCTGGAAATACAGTACTGGAGCTGGATTTGCCTAGGAGCAGTGGGAGCAGTGACCAGAGCAGGAATCGTTGTTTGGCTTTGGGTTTTGTGGTGGGCAGGGGTATAGCAGAGTGGTGGAAGGAAAGCACAACTGAGGAAGAAGCGCACAAGGCATTTTGCTTGTGCTTGGTGCAGCCCAGCTTTCTGATTGGGCAATCAGGAAGTTAAATGAGGGAATTAAAAAAAGATAGTCTGGATTTTAGCTGAGAAGGGTACTTTAGCTCAGAAGGGTACCTAAGCCATCTGTCTTCTCGCAGACCTGTGCTGGGAATTACCTTCTCCCACCTTCTTACCATTAGAGCTAACCCTCCTTGGATACAGCAGTCATGTACCTCCTTGCTGTGAGCATCTGAGTGTCAGTGAGCTGTTGGCAGCAGAGGTATCTGAGTGTCCTTCAAGGAGCAGGGCTGGGGAGAGCTTTAATGTGTGGAAATTGCTGTTGCGGGAAAATGGATTTTCCCTATCTGCATTTGTGGCTTCCAGTGTGGACAGGAGCAGAGGTGGAGGAGGGAGTAAACTCCTTACACAGAAACTGGGAGCTTAGAAGAGGCATTCAGATTAGATCTGTTTTAGTTCTGTGGAGTTTTCTGTGGTTTGGTGATGCTAAGGCACCCTGTGGTGTTGCTGTACACTTGTCTTTTGAGACAGAGGAGAAATCTGGTGATAAAGCTCTGCACAGCAGATTGTCCCTGGTGTCCACTGACACCAGCAGTCAGTGGCCAACCCAACAGGGGTGGCCCAGCTGGATCCCACTAATTTCTTTGGCTTTGTCCCAAAGCAAGCTTCAAACAATGAGTTCTGCAGGCTGTGGCTCAGACACTGGTGACCTCTCTTCTGCAGCAACTCCTTTGCTTTCCACAGCCATGCACAGAGAAAGTCACGCGGGGTGGATGCAGATGCCCAAGGTGGTTATATTTGCATGCTCATTGTGCCATAATGCAACAGGCACATGTTCTGCAAGGGCCAGCATGGTTAAATAATACAATATATACCCTTTGACTTAAGGTAGAGAGAAAACAACTCCACACTTTTAGAGAAAGAGAAGAGAAAAAAATAGCTTCTGGGACAGCTAAGGTGCAGTCCCACCTAGTCCCTGTTGGCTTCTGTTGTCTGTAGGAAACAAAACAGAGCAACCCCTTCCCTGACACTTGTGGGAAGGTGTCAAATAAAGCCACAGCGTTTCTTTGTGTAGGCAATTTGTTTATGGTCATAGCAGAATGTGAGCTGGCTACACGCAGGAGGCCACCACAGATGGCAATTACAGACACATTCCCTGGCCAGGGAAGGGATTAAGTAAAGCTTGGAGTGACTGGGTTTGTTTTTGTTTCTTTAATTTAACGCATTAGGACAAGTTTCTAAACCTTTTAAGTCTTTGGAGGGCAGATATTTTCCAGCAGATGTTTGCCTCCAGAATGCAAGCTCAGAGTCTTCTCACAGCATCTGGCAGATCCACGTAAGAAGGAGTTTTTGATGCAAAACACTAGAGAAGTTTGGGAGGTTGGCAGAGCCAGGGGCAACTCACCCATGTGGGAGCAGAGACGCACGACTTTGGTGTGGTCAGGGTTCCTCACTCCCACAGGCTCAGCAGCTTCCCTTCCCAGGCTGCTGCTGACAGAAAACCTTTTCCTTCAAAGCTGCCTTTCTGCTTCTGGGCACCAGCAGCAGGAAGGTGTAAATGTCCAGGTGTAAATGTCAAGGGCAGGATGGGCAGCTTTGAACTTGCATTTGATGATACTGGCATGCTGCAAATGGATTGATCTTGCCTTAGACTGCTCTCATGTTTAACAGCCATGTGAAATACCTGAAAAGTAGAAAGATTATTTCTTAACTTCACCTTTTTTTTCTCATGTGTTGGTATTTCTAAAGGATCAAGGCACTGTTTTTCCTGCCAGTTCTTGCTTGTGTTTAGGGAGGGGTTTGGCAGGCACCACAGGGATTTTCCAGAACTTGGGCTCTTTTCAAAGGCTTATTTTCCATCAGTGTTGTTTATCCATTTCCTTCATTTTTTGTTCAGAGCACAATTAAAGACTCCTGATATAGTTCCTAAAGGGGAGGTTTTTAGTTGTTGGTTTGCTATCAGTCAGAGACTTGAAGTCATGATCAGTGACTGCTCAGGCTGCATTTTCAGTGTAAAGCCAAGATTGCACCAATTGTTCTCCCTGATAAGGTAATCCATAGCACAGGGGATCATCTCCAGTTAGGATGAGCAGCTTAGGGGGGTCAGTGCAGCAGGCAGAACCCCCAGTTCAGGGTAAAGCCACTGGGTTGCAATTGCTGCTGTGAGTTGATCTTTGCAGGGGTTTCAGCAGTATGAAAGAAAGTACCATTTATGACACAATTACACAGTAATTTCAAAGAACTTCTTTATATTTGAGCTAACTGTACCACATCCTGGTGTACACATCTAAAAGATCTCATCCACTGAGATGCACTTGAGTGCTAAAAAACAAAGGACAAAGAGTGCCCCATTGTTTTCCAGGACATATTTTTACCTTAAATAATTTTTCTTTTCTGTATTTGTTTTGCAGATTCCCGAAACAAAACAACCTCCAGTCCCCAAGATCGAATCCCCAGAGGGATATTATGAAGAGGCTGAGCCATATGACATCTCTGTAAATGGTATATCGTGAAACTCTTGGGGGCAGGGGTTCATGTGGGAGATGGAGGACTTGAGGTTTATGAGAATGAGTAAATGAAAGCACAGACATTTCTTACAGCTTATGTGACAAGTTTGTTTTCTGCTGCTCATCACACTTGATATTACAGATCTCATGCTAGTTGGAAAGCAAAGACTACTGAGTTACTCAAATCTTAACTTTCCTGTAGAAGTAAGTAGTATGCTTGGGTCAATATAACATCACTGTAAAACCATTGCAGGTTCTCTTTGGATGTTTTTCTGGCAGATAAGCTGTAGTCAAACACAAAATTATTCAGGAGTGAGTGGTGAAGCTGTGGTGGCTTGCATTCATGTCCTAGTGCTCTAATTGTCCCCTTGGGGCTCAAAGTCCATGGCTCTGTTGGTCTGTGAGGAGCGATAACTGTTTTTATAATTGGCTATTTATTCAGCTCTATCTCTTGTGGCAGTTTAACCATCTTTACACTGGATTAAAAAGTCACGCTCCATGTGAGGGGGCAGTGTGTGTGTTCCCTCTGCACACACTCGCTGCTTGGGTCAGCATCTCCAGCCATGTCCTCAGCAGTCCACACCTGTCCCCTGTGGGTTCCCCACCCCTCTGGATGCAGGCTGAGCTCCCAGATTCTCACTTTTTATATGTATTCCTGCATCCTTCTTTTGGTGAACACCCTTCATAAGAGATTGCCTTCCTCTGATCTGATAGCGGAGCTGATCTTCTCATCGCTTTATAATCCATTTAAGCACAAATGAGACAGATTGTGTCGCTCTGCTGCAGAAGCAGATGTCTGCTCCTCAGCCTCGTCTGCAGCAGAATGCATGGCATGGGGCAGAGCTGAGTGGGGAGAGTTGGGGCAAGCAAAGAAGTGAGAGTTAAGGGTAAAAGATTTGGATCTAAACCCTTGGCTGTTGAGTCTGAGCTGCTTGTGAGAGAAGCCGAGTCCTCTCCAGCCCCAGTGTGCACCGCTGAGCTTTGAAGCTCCCTGGCAGGGAAGCACCAGCTGTGCCACTGTTTAAAGTGGCCGAGGGTTGACATATCTGAACAGCACTCACTGCCTGTGAGCACGTTGCACTCCAGGACAGCTCATATCTCAGCATGGGTCACTGTTCTCATGAGGAGTTACAGTGCTAAACAAAACAAGAGAGATGTAAAAAGATCTTTGTTTGACTGAACCATCCCATTTTGTCTGCAAATGCATTACAGCAGTGAACAAGAAGATAGACCCCAGGTCAGGTGAGAAAAGATACAGGCTCATTATGGCTGGGGTGCAGAGGAGAGGTCCACCCAGCTCTGCCATGTGTTTTGCTGAAATGCTCTGTGTTGTTTGGCTTGAGGTGAGGGCTGTGATGCACAGGGCGCAGGAGGTGAAGCTCTACTGCAGTTTGGGCAGCACAGGGTGCTGCAGCCTCATCCCCATGGCAGGAGGTCCCAGTTGCCTGCACTGTAGGATAAATGGAGGGGTTTTTTTACCCTGCTGCATACTGGGGAAGTGGATAATGTGTTAAGAACCATGGCATAAAAAGACATATGCCAGATTAGCTGGAGTGCAGCCATGGATCCATGTGCTGGGATACCCAGCTTATGTTATCCAGGCAGCTCCAAAACTAGCCCTGAGTTCAGAGACTTGGCTGGCAGGAGCGATAAGCACACACACAGCTTCCACCTCTGCTTTTGCTTGGTAACCTGCTGCTCAGAGATGCAAATACACCCACCATCCACTGAAATCTAGGCCAGTCAGATGCCTAAGGAAATGGGAAATCAGAGCCCTGCAAAAAGAGAGAAAAGCCCATATGGTGGGAGCACTCTCAAAATGAGGCAGCTCTGGGTGTCAATGGGTCAGTCTGGGACTGCTGTGAACTGCTGTTGTACCAGTGGGCTCAGTGTTTTACTGAGCAGTGTCACAGCCCTAAGTGTAGATAGGAGCCTGTGAAGCCAGCAGAGATGGGATGTAGGATTCCAGGCAGTCTCTCACCACTGAGATATGTGGTGCCTTTGCCTCCTGTGACTGCTCAGCCACAGGTCCCCTCTGCAGGCCCCAGCAGGTCCCTCCCACAGAAACCTCCAGGTGTACTACAATGCTGGTGGTTTTTAAGGTGGTTTGTGTGAGAAGGAAGACAGCATTGTGTCACTGAGTCTCTGTGCTTTTTGGCAGCTTCATGCTTGAGGTGGTGCCTTGGGCTGAGCCAGAAGGAGCAGGGAAAGATGTGGAGCAGCAGGTGTGTGGCAGGAGGAGGCTGGGGGGGTCGGGAGAAGGTGAAGTGTGCTGTGCTGTGCAGAGGGGAGGCTGTGCAGCACTGGGTGAATGCTGGTGCCCCAGTCTGCCTTGAGATCAGGCTGCAAGTCCCACAGTGCATGGGCAAACCTGCAGGTCCCTGTCCTGCTGTTTGTTTCAATAAGCACAAATTGACTTATCAGATGCTGATAGAACCTTGTAGCTGTCCTACACAGTGATGCTCATTGCTAGAAACTGCCTTGGGACCTTGGTGTGATTGCTGTTGCTAAAAGGCAGTCTGAACATGCATGAGTTTGCCTAGCCAGAGATGCCAAAGCCTGACCCCAGTAACCCCCCAGGCCCTCTGTGCTCACCCCTTTCCCCACAGGCTGGATAGGGAAGGGGCCAGCAGTCCAGGGAGCTGCTGGTGATGTTTCATAGAATGGCCTGAGTTGGAAGGGACCTTAAAAATCATTCCAACCCCCCTGCTGTGGAAAAGGACACCTTCCAGATCAGATTGCTCAGAGCACCATCCAGCCTGGCCTTGAACACTTCTAGAGGTGGGGCATCCACAGCTTCTCTGGGCAACCTGTTCCAGTTCCTTATCACCCTCACAGTAAAAAAATTTTTTCTAATATCTAATCTAAATCTACTCTCTTTCAATTTGAACCCGTTTCCCATTGTCCTGTCACTACATGATCTTGTAATAAGTCTGTCTCCAGTACTGTTTCCGACAGTATTACAGCATGAGCCTTGGAAGACACCCATATGTCTCCAAACAAATGGGCGTAGTGAAATCAAACAAAAATAGGAACACCACTAAAATAAGTGGGGTCACTGCCAAGAAAGGACATCAAAGCAAGCTTCCAGATGGGCTGAGCAGATAGAGGTTTCGTGCAGCATCAGAGGTGGGAGTGCGAGGCACTGTAACAAACTGTGGGTGTATTAATTAGAATAAAGCAGGCAAGCGAGTCCGCTGGGTCTTGCAGTCCCTCTTTCATCAGCAGGATTCCCGCCTCTCCGCTGGGGACTCCTCTGCCTTTCATTTTACAGCTCCAGCAAATGCTGCTGCCTTCCCTCCCCTCCTGGGCTGAAATGTGTTAAACCGTTATCGCCGCCTTTGCATAATTGGAGGGTGCGATAAGAAGCAGAGTGAAAGCGCAAGGGGCGGCTGTGGCTGCCAACTGAGCAATAATTATTCTGGCTGAAAGAGCTCCTCTGCCCTGGCTGGTTTTAATTACGATGACAATTATTCAATTTTAAAGGGAATCGCCTTGTTTGAGGGGATGGGTTGAAAATGTCCCTGTTTGAGGTCTCACCTTGCATATGTTGTGTAGGGATGGGACAGCCTCACTGGCCAAGGGGAGCTGGGGAACTGAGCCGGATTGACACCCTTGTTCTATGCATTTGCTTATCTGTGGCTTTTTCTCTTTGTCTCCCTTTCTCTTTCCTTTCGATTGTGCAGGTCTTTTTGGTAGGCTTGCTGCAGCTGGACCCAGGCCAGGGTTGCAGGTTACTGAGGGCGTTATTTATGCCACAATAACAATGGGTATGGCATGCTTTCCAAACCTAAAGTGCCTTTTTTTAACAACAACAACAACAAAAAAAACCCACCACCAAAAAATCCCCAACAACTCAGTTTTAGCAAAGCTTATCAGGTACTCCCCCCCGGCATTGCCTATTACCTGCATGGAGGGTAGCCACCTGTCCCCTCTCCCTGCCTGGTGTTATTTTTTGTGGCTTTCCCTGTGCTCAGGATGACAATGAAGAGAACTTCCCTAGCTCTTATTCCACTGGTTCTGTCGCTGATGTGGAGCTTATATGTGGTAACACTGGCTGTATTGACGAGTAGCTGTTTGGTGAATGGTTGAAGGTGCTCTGCTCGGGCAGAGGCAGCTTGGGTGTATGAGAGGGTTGGAGCTTCCTGCATCATGGCATTGATTTAGCTCCCTGGGAGGCCATGGGAAGACAAACAGGAAAGGAGAAGTGGATTTAGATAAAGACACCCAAGATCATGGCTGCACTGATGACTTGGTACTGCATGAGCCTTAGTAGTGACCAGTGTTGTCTCAGGTCACAGTGTTGTCTCAAGTCACCCAGGCAAAGTTTGGCCCAGTTTGCCTTGTTACATATCCTGGTAAATGCCTTTCCATCATGAGGCCACAGCAGTGTCACCAGGCCAGCAACGACTGCAGTTCTTCAAGTAGAGAGGAGCTCATCTCTTGAGGAACCGCACTTGTGGTTGTGGTTGATGCACAAAAGAGCAGCCAGGACTCCCACTGAGAGCATGGAAGAAAACTGCCATTTCCCCAGGAGAAAGGTGGCAGCTTGAGACCTTATGCCTCGGTGAGGGACACCAGAGACTCCCAAAAGGGGCCAGAGGGGCAGTTAGCAATAGCCCCATGTTGATACGGAGGGAGATTTAGAAGATGAGGTTCCCTTAGGCATTGTTACTGCTGCATAAGGAAAAGTCCCTAGCAGTGCAGAGGTTCAGCTTCTTGGTGTTTGTAGGGTTGAGAAACCTCAACACTTTTACTTCATCTGAATTTCTGCACAGGGTGCCTGTGGACAAGGTCTGCATAGTGAGAATGCATGGAAGGGGATAAAGGTTTTCCATAAAAGATGGAGAGTTGGAGATGGTGAGCCAGTAGTGTGCTCCATTCAGAGACTTTGAAAGGGAGTATTTGCTTTTTAATAAGTTTATTTGTTGCAGCTTTGATCACTTAGGGGATGTTATAGAGTAAGATTTCACTGGGGCTGTAGCTTTGTTACTGCATCTCAGTTCCTTTTATTTTAAGAACAAATAAACCCAACTGAAATGTATTTCACTGGAGCTCCTAATGTGTTTCTTTTTCTTTGTCTCTTTTCTGACTGCTTTTCCTCTTTTTAATTTGCACCAATCTGATAATATTACTTTTATGTAGATATTAAGATATGGTGAGAATCAAAATTAAATTCCAGTGAGAGTAACTTAACAATATTCCTCTGTGCTGTTTGGTAGGGCAAGAATGCAAAACCCTACACAGATGCTGCCCAAATCTTACCATCTTGCTCTGTGAGCTTATCTTGTGAATAAGAGCTGTACTGTAAATGCCAGCAGAGCATTGCAAATCCCCCTGCAGTCAGAGGGAACATTTTTAATGCTTCTGATGAGTCTGGTACCAATGATCAGCTAAAAACTCCAATAACTTACAATACATTAGATCTGGGTATTGAAAATCCCAATTCATCCTAGTAAGTCCTTTTAAAAATGGGTTGCTACTGCAACAGTGTATTACTTCAAAGCCTCTTGCTGTCCTTAGATGCTGAGTAGGGAGAGGGACCTGTTAGCCCAGGAAAGGGGAGTGACATCTCAAATGCAATAGATCTTTGCTTGCTGCATGGCCTTGCAAATACCATTTGTACTTCTGACATTCATAGGACAAGGGCTGATTGTAGTTTGCTGTTGCCTTAAAAATTGTGTTTGACTTGAAGTGGAAAATGTAAAAAGCATCTTTTCAGAGGGGGGGAAGGAAGCAGCAAACATCAGAAAATGTCTAAGGGAATGTTCTCGAATTTGTGGTCAACTGAAAAGTGTCTTTTGAGCGTTTGCTAATGGAGGCTATTAGGCACAAAATATTGCTATGAAATTCATATTGGGGTAGAAAGAAAAAAAGAATCTATGAGGGTTACTTTCCTATTTATTATCCTCCTGTAGGAGAGCCTCAAAAGACACATCCCTGCACTGGAAGCTTTTGCATGTGTGAGCATGGCTGAGGCAAAGCATTAGGCTCAGAGTTATTCTAAAAATGTATTTAATAATAGAGCTTTGCTTTTGTTATAGAAGATGGTGAAGCCATTAGTAGTTCCTATGAATCTTATGATGAAGAAGAGAGCAGCAAAGGCAAGTCAGCAACCCATCAGTGGCCATCCACAGAGGCCACCATTGAGCTGATGAAGGATGCCCGCATCTGTGCCTTCCTGTGGAGAAAGAAGTGGCTGGGACAGTGGGCAAAACAGCTGTGTGTTATCAAGGAGACCAGGTTGCTGGTGGGTAGATCCTCTATTCTCTGCCTAAAACAATCTGTTTGTGTGAGCTGGGGAGGGAAGTGGCACATCAGGCCATGTTAACAAGCTGGCAGAAGCAAAGTACTTCTAGAAGTAGTGTTTCAAAAAATGTGTCCCAGAGATCTCGAGATTCCATTCCATTTTCAGAAGGAATGTAGGCATGGGACTGCTGAGGGAGGCACAAAATTTTGTGGCCAAAATTCCAATTCCCCAAAATGCCTAGGGATGCTTTTGGGGAAACTATTTGAGGTGGTTAAGCAGAAGGGATGCTTATCCCACAGACTGACCACATACTTGACCCTCTAGCGGTGAGAGGTATTTCAGATTATATGTGCATGCATGTAAATATGTGTGTAGTCTCTGTACTTTGTAGGACACAGCTTTGTAAAACCTATAGGACCTTTTTGTGTTCAGTGTACTTAATGCATGTAGTTGGCACTGAGTCACTTACGGGGTTGAGTTCACACTGATGAGTGAGAGTGAAGGCTCCTCCTCTGCCTCTCACCCCCTCTCATCTTCCTTCCCCAGTGCTACAAGAGCTCCAAAGACCACAGCCCTCAGCTGGATGTGAATTTGCTGGGCTGCACTGTCATTCACAAGGAAAAGCAAGTGAAGAAGAAAGAGCACAAGCTGAAGATCATTCCCACGAATGCTGACGTCATTGTGCTGGGGCTGCAGAGTAAAGACCAGGCAGAGCAGTGGCTCAGGGTCAGTGACACTTTCAGGACTTACCCTGCTGGTGCTCCCATGCTTTGCTGGGAGACCATAGCTTATCTCAGCCCTGTCCTTGTGTGCTCTGGCTCCCTTCCTTGCTGCAAGCCTTTATACAAATATACCACTTCATTTTCATGTCCTGGGATAGCTTCTTCCTGCAGCTCCCTGCCGCCTTCGGCATGCTGGAGTCCATGTAGGGGCCTCCCAGCACAGCTGCTATGACGGGGGAGATGTCTGGCGTGGGTGCCCAGCATAAATTGGCTTAGGACAGGGGTGGCCCTTCCCCTGAGGCAGCAGCAGAAGAAGGAGCCTTCGTGGAGCCCAGGACGGCAGCGAGACGACGGAGCTGCCTTTGCTGGCAGCCTCTCCTAGCTGACTTGGATCCAGCAGTTCCTGCCAGCTGCCTGCTGCAACACCAGGACAGACCCCAGGGTCGCAGGGACTGTAAACCACGGGTTTCCCAGGCTGCTGGGTGGGGGAGAAGTATTGATCCTGTAGATCCTGCAGCTCTCTGACAGGCTATGGCTTCCCCTTCTGCACAGGTAATCCAGGAGACCAGTGGTCTGCTGTGCGAAGGAGGCAGTGAAGGCAACCAGTACATCCCAGATTCACAGCGCCTCAGCTACCCAAAGGTACATGTTGTATCTACAGAGAGAACTAGCACTTAGGCTTTTTAACCCTGTTCCTTCAATAAATAACAGTGTAGGTGCCCTAATTTTACCTGAGCAAAGACTGATATGAGTGTAACCAGACCCCTGTGCTGCTGAAAAGGAGCATTATTGGAACAATCTTAATTTTCCTTTGCAATCTTAATTTTGTTGCCATATCATTCCCCCCAGATTGACTCAACATGTGGGTCTCCACCATACAGGGCAGCAGCCACTATCTCATCCAATGGGATGTTTGTGTTCACCAAGAGCTTTGGGAGGGACATAGACTCTTGGACACCAGGGCTTGGGCCATCTCTAGTCCAGGTTTAGGTGACAGTACCCTATGAGCAGCTTGTTTCAAAACAGAGGGAGGAGAAAGAAACTTTTTTAAGTCTCTGGTGCACACCCAAAATGGACCTGTTTGGGCACCTGGCTGGTTCCTGTGCCCATGCCCCCCTACAGGGACTGTCAAATGCCCCTACCATCCAGGCTGCAGGGTAGGAGGCCAAAGGGTGACATCACCTCAGAGGTGAGCCCAGCTGGGGGTGTGTGTGTGCTGGATCTGCCCATGCTGAGCTCAGGAACAGTGGGAAGGGCACAGTGAGAGGGAACCAGCAGGGGATGTGTGGGTGTAAGCATCTGCTACGGAGAAGGTGGGACCTTGTAATATAAGAGAGGGGGGAAAAAGGTCCTTGTGGCACATTCTGTCTGGAGGAATGGGTCATGTGCATCTGCTGAGCTTGTGTCTGGTGTTTGTTGACAGGTGGAGGTATCTGAGAGATACTCTGCAGCCTCTGAGAGCGGGAGCAGCACGGATGGCCACCCAGAGACAGCTGAGACAAAAGATGGTAAAACCTCACCCTGGGAATGACAGAGAGAATGGGCCCTTGACCCTGTGTGAGGCGAGGGTTTGTGTAGCTTTTTCTGTCACTGCCACCTCAAGTGGACCTGATGCAGGGTGAAAGCTGTGTGTGCATTCACTGCCTGTGAATTTGATTTCAGTTTGATTGTGAGTTTGACTACATTTTTCATAATGAAGTAACAGGTGGATGTTGAGGTTTCTGAGGATCAGGATAGGGCTTGAGAAGCCTGGATGTGATTCCTGGTCTACCACAGAGTTTCTACATGTCTCTGGGCGAGTCGCTCTCGGACAGTTTGAGATGGCATAACTGCCAACTGAAGTGACTTTCCTCAGAGATGTCTGCAGAGAAACGTGGAGTCCTTTGTGAAATGCTGAGCTGCCCCCAGTGGGAGACTTACACCTTCACACTAGGGTGAAGCTCTAGTGTGAAGGTGTAATTTAAGCTGGGGCAGGTAAGTACAATAAAAGAGGAAATGGTCTATTAGAAAGATGTGGGACCCATCTCTATATTGGAGAGAGATAAATCCATGCTGGGAACCCACTGGAGTCACCCAGCAAATGGACTTCAGCTGCTGAGTCCCTCTATGCTTGGACTTCGTCATTTTGTTATGACAGTGGGAAGGAAAATCTGGACTAAAAAAATCCAAGTCAATTTCTTACCAGGATTCCCTGATGATGACAGAACCTTATGCACACACTGACTGATGTGCTCAGTAGGAAAATGCTGAAGAGACTCTTTGGATGTAAATTTTCCCTCTCCCTACCTTGCGTCCCTCTTTTATAGAAGAAAAGACTGAATGCAGTAAATGTTTATGGTTAATGGTTTTTAATTCAATTCTTTGTAGTATAAGAAAGTGAAGGGAGATTTGCACAGCAAGACCCATGCAAAGAGCCTTCCCACTGCTCCTACAGCAACTGGCCTTTGGTCAGAGCTAACCCAAGTTTAAGGCAATATAGATGAGAATCTCCAACAAATCACTAACTGAGCTTACTGGTGCCATCTTGCTCATCGACTCCCTGGGCTTGAGACTATTACAGCCTGTCCCTGAGTCACAGGTTTGTCCTCTGCAAGGGATGTCTGTGCTGTGGGTGCAGGACAGCAGTACAGGCAGCTTTGGGGCAGGACACCCAGCTGGGACAGCAGGCTGTGTGTATGGCTGTGAGCTGGGAAAGCCATGCATGTGTCTTTTTCATTTCCGATAGTTAAGAAGAAGGGCACAACTGGCCTGAAACTGAGCAACCTGATGAACCTCGGGAGGAAAAAGTCCAGCTCCATGGATAGCCCAGAGAGATCCTTGGAGACTTCAAGTAAGTGGCAGTGTGATCCCCTCTGCAGGGACCTGTCTCAGGGCTGGATCTCAGTGTGCAGGGCAGGATGAGCACCAGGCATCATCCTCCTCAAACATGCCTGTGTCAGACTGTCCTGCTGTTGGCAGCAAAGAACCACAGTCTGCTTGGTCCCTGCCAATAAATCCAAGCAGATTGTGGTGCCTCCTGCGCATTAAGGTGACTGTTGGGCTTACAAGGGCAGGCAATAGCTCGCAGGGTGACCCAAGAGGAAGGGCAGGTAATACCAGACATGCACACAGAGGACATCTGTGCTGCTCTTCCTTGACACCAGCCCAGGCTGTGGGAGTCCGCAGGGAGTTGTGTGGCCAGCTGGTATTTGACAATCTGGGGCCAACTTTGTCCAACCACTTCAGCCAACTTTGCTGCTCCAAACCTAAGCTGAATTTCAAGAGTCTCATTCTGAAAATATTTTTGGTTTTCACACTGTTTTCTATGGATAGGACAGCTTGTCCTTCTGCTTTTGCTCTTTAATTTTGCCTGTGGCTTTGTGTTGTGTAGTGGTCTCGTAACTTACCCATTAGACATCACCAAAATGAATTCGGGTTCTCTCAACTGGAGGGATGGAAAATATGTCTAAGTAAACTCTGTTTGCTTGCAGGTTACCTGAATGTGCTAGTGAACAGCCAGTGGAAGTCACGTTGGTGTCAGATAAAAGATGGTCACCTCCATTTCTACCAGGACAAGAACCGAAGCAAACTGGCTCAGCAGCCCTTAAGTCTGGCAGGTTGTGAAATTATCCCAGAGCCAAGCCCTGATCATCTCTACTCCTTCCGCATCCTGCAGAATGGGGAAGAACGGGTCATTTTGGAGGTAGGGTGTATATGTGCAAGAAAGCTCTGCTTTAAGTCATCAGCTTGGGTATCTTAGTAGGTCTAAATGCCAGTGAGGTCCTCCAGAGGAGCCCTCAGTCCAGCAAAACAGAACCTGAAGTGTGGGACTTGGGTTCATCTGCCTGTGGTCACCTAGGATGTGTCTCATCTAGCTGGTAATCCAGGCTGTGTCTGATGCTGGTGCCTCCAGAGGACCATTCAGCCTTCACCTTGGGCACTCAGAGTGGGATTAAGGGTCCTTTGGAGATGCCCATCTTTCTCTTTGAATACTTAAGTTCTGTGGACTGCATTCCAGATGGTTAATGTTAGATAAGAAAAATGTCACTTTAGGGATTTAAGTCTGTGGCTGGGAGGAACAGAGAACTTTATCTTTTAACAATGCAGTCCCAAAGCCATGGGTCATGCATCCCAAGTAAACTGATCATGGATCTGACCCTGAAAGTGCAAGTGAATTCATCTCCATCTGTTACTTTCCTTTGCCTGCATCCAGGACTGTTTATCTCTAATCTTAGTTCTCTCTGACGACAGCATGATTATAGTAGGAGGTGGACAATGTGAGCAATTTCCTGTATTTTTCCAGTGGGTGGAATATTTATAGCTAAACAACTGACTTTGAGGGCTTGCCGTGATGTTTTTGTTTAGCTTCTGGTGCAGGGTATGTCTGTATCTAAGAAATTTTGCCCAATTACAGATGTGAAAGTAGAGGTGCTGAGAAAATTTACATTTTGTGAATGGAAGAATCTGTATTTTGTTGGGATGTCAGACTCAATGTCAGACTCAATGTACAGACTGGCTGGCTGGCAGGCTTCCCAGGCACTGAAGTCTCTGCTAAATAAAACAGATTGAAAGCTTAAAATATGCTTTCCAGTTTGGAAAGTATATATATGTATATTCCCTTGCCCTGAATTTTACTTTGTGCTCACTGCTCTGACTCATTAAATCAAAGCAGAAGGTGGCTGCATCAGCCAATTCTTGCTTCAGGTAGAATCCCCTGCTACCAGGAGGTGCACATGGTTATTTGCTAGAGCCGACTTGAAGGCACAGTATTTAACTCTTCCTGTTGCAAAATGTCAAACTGCTCACTGCAGCTGGGAATTCGACCACGTTAAAGCAAGGGACTCTCTCCGATGCTTTAAACAATTTACTTCCCCTCTCTCCTTGTGCAAAAGGCCCTTGAAGGGGTTTAGGCTCTGGCATCAGGACCTCACAGGCTCGGGTCTCCTTGCCTGTCTGTTTTGGCAATCCCATTGCTGCACTCTGCTGGTGCAAAATAAAACCCGCACCCAAAACTGTTCCCAGCCAGCATCTCCAGCCCCAGAGACTTCTCTTACTCTTGTAGGCAGCTGAGTTAACACCGGTGAAAGGTAAATGCAAACTGACTAGAAATTTTAGGAAGGAGTTAAGCAAAGAGCTGCACGTATGTAGCTGCCAAATTTGTGAATCAGTCCATACACAGGGCAGCCTCGGATATATTATAAATACCCAGCAGTTCATCTTTCCCCTCGGAAGCCCAGAGAACTGCCAGCCTACTTCCCTACCCAAGGCTTAGCCAGCCTTAGCCTTGTGAGCGCAGAGAAACTGCTGCTGCAGCCTGTCCTGTCTGATCACCCTATAGGCAAAGTCCTCCGAGGAAATGGGCCACTGGCTGGGCCTTCTCTTGTCGGAATCAGGTTCGAAAACAGACCCAGAGGAATTTACCTACGATTATGTGGATGCTGACAGAGTTTCCTGCATAGTGAGCGCTGCGAAGAATTCCTTCTTGTATGTCAGTGGTAATGGGTTGGGGGCTGCATGGGGCTGGTAGAGGGAAGCAAACCTGAGCAGGGGTCTGTCCATTTGTGGGAGGCTGGCTGCTGTGGGAACAGGTGGTGAATTCACAGCTACAGCTCAGTCCCTTTCTTTAGAAGCTCAGTGTGTGACAATAAGAACACTTATTGTCCTACCATGGTGCATCTAGACTGAGCTGCAGCTTGGCCACATGCCCAGGTGGCTCTTGCAAAGGCAGGTTGGTGGGGTGGCTTGGTTGGGGGGTGCAGGGCTCTGGGCACGCAGCCTCCCAGTTCACCATGCCACTGGGGCAGGGTGATTGCACTGCTGTGGTGCTGTGGTGCTGTGCCCGAGGGCTGGGTGAGAAAGGAAAGCGTGGAGGGGAAATGCAGCTCCACTCTGGTGGGCACTGCTTAATGGGCAACAGGAGCAGTGATCCCACTGCTTGTATGGCTCTGCCTTCTCATTTCCTGCATCTGGTCTGCGTGGCTCTGCCCAGACCTCAGGACTGCTGTGCCAAGATGTCCCAAAATGCAGCACTGCAGAACCACACAGCAAGTCTGATCCCTCCTGATGGGATGTCCTGCTACCTGTTCACAGCCTCATGCAGAGGAAGTACTCTGAACCCAACGCCTACATCGACAACCTGCCCAAGGGCCGGGTGCAGCAGGAGGAGCTGTACGATGATGTGGATCTGCCCGACCTGCCTGTGGTAAGATGTCCAGTGCCACAGGCACAGGCCCTGCTGCAGTGAGCTCTGTGGGGACCATGGTAAACATCAGGCCATGGAGAGTTGCCAGCAATGAAAGGGGAAGATTTTCCCAACAGTGACAAAGGGGATTCCCAGACCCTGGGGAAATCCTGGTTTTTGCAATGGAGCAGAAGCAAATGCTGGAGAGGAGTTTCTAGGGAATGGGAAAGAGGTTTCCAGGAAGGTGCTATAGGAAGCTGGGATAAAATCCCCCAGTTTCCATCAGCAAACAGCATGGATTATGTCGTAATAGATAGTGGGGTTTTTGTTGCCTGTAAGGCCAAGTCCTGTGTGTAAGGGCAAGAACGATGGGTCGTGCTGGAATAGGAACTGTTATCCCGGGAAACGCAGAGAATCTGGCAGGGGTTGCTGGATGTACAGTGGTGTGAGGTACTTGCATGGGGCTGCTGCTACTACTAGAGACCTAAAGAAGGAGAGCAGGAGGGGCCTTTCCTTCAGTACACCAAAAAGCCTTGTATGGAATGAATTAGACAATGGGGTTTTAGTTTCTCTAAGGTTTTTGGAAAATACTCCAGATTGTGTGAGATGCCGCTGCTTTGCAGCAAGATGCTTCTTGTACTTCTGATTGCAGCAGATGGTCCTCCCTTTTCCGGGGAACATTCTCCTTTTGCAGGAAGAAGTACCCAAGAATGAGAGCAAATCAGAAGGGGACCAAGACAGAGTGTATCTGGATCTCACCCCAGTAAAGTCCTTCCTCCACTGTGCTGGCAGGATGTCATGCCAACCTTCTCCCCTTAGCTCACCATCTTTGGAAAGGGCTGCCAACAAGGCTGCTGCTGAGACCACAGCTGAGACAGCCCTCCTGACTAAGGAAGCCGAGCCCTGTACCAAGGCGATGGAGCCCTTGGAGCAGGTACTGTCCAAACTGTGGTGCAGGGCCAGGCTTAATCAGTGAGCCAGCTCCCCCCACCACATCATCTCACTTCATCTCCTCTCCCCAGAAACACCCAGAGAAGCCAGAGCCTGAGGAGGCAGTGCCACGAGTGCCTGCTGTCAAAATCCAGCCCCAGCAGCAGAGCATCGCCTTCCCCCAGCCGGCCCCCGAGGTGCCACCAGGCCCAGTGCCAGTGGGCAGCCCCCAGCTGGTGCCTGCACACCGGCCCAAGATGCCACTGCCAGGTGAGTGTGCTGCACAAGTGGCCAGGGAGTGCCTCAGCAGCAGGAGCTTGGAGGGAGTTGGTATCCTGTGGTTTGGCTGCTGCTGCTGTAGAGCAGCTTTACAGTGCCCAAGGGGCTGATGAGGCTCCTGGTTGCTGACTTCCCAGACCCTCGTGTGTGTTGTTTCCAAGCACCTGAAAAGGTTTTCCCTCCTGCTTTTTTCTCCCTGGCTGAGCTTGTTTTGGTGTGCTGTGTTTCCAGCAGCAGCAGTGGAAACCAAGCTGGGCAAGAACAGGACGGAGGCAGAGGTGAAGCGGTTCACAGAGGAGAAGGAACGACTGGAGAAGGAGAAGGATGAAATCCGGGCTCAGCTTACCCAGCTACGCAAGGAGAGACGGGAGCTGAAGGAAATGCTCGGGAGCAGCACAGGTAGAGCAGGGCAAAGTGTGATGTGTGGAAATGGCCCAAGGGATCACAGGGAAAGAGGGGAGCAATGAACCTGGGACCAGAAGGGCGAGGGGGAACTTGGTGCTTTGAGTCAAATCATGTAGCCTAGGTTGCACTAGAGCCAGAACTTGCTCTGCCACAGTCCCTCTTAGGGCAAAACATAAGGAAAATGTACAAGACATGCCCTGGTCCCTCCTCCCCTCATGAGCTCCCCAAGTTCCCGGCAGGCACCACGATACTCCTCCTTTCACAGACAAGAGCCTGGAGCAGAGACTGAAGGAGATAGATGAAGAATGCAAAAGGAAAGAGAGCCAGAGGGTGGACCTGGAGCTGAGCCTGGTGGAGGTGAAGGAGAACCTGAAGAAGGCAGAGTCTGGCCCAGTAACGCTGGGCACCGCAGTGGACACTACACACCTGGAGAATGCAGCCCCACGGGTATGTGGGGGGCACCCCTGGGATGCACAGCAGCTCTCTGGCAGCTAGGCAGTCACACTGTCTGAGCCTGCTTAATAATAATTAATAATACATCAGTATTATAATATGTAATCTTGTATAAAGTTATAGCATATATGTATTATCTAAGTATTATGTTATATATAACATACACAATGTAATAATCATCTAATGAGGTAACAGCAGTGTTGGAGTCATGAAAGGTGGTTGGGGCTCAGGAGAGTGGCTTAATTTTGTTGGCCTTGAGCAACACCCTCCAGGACTGTGCAGGTCTGGACGCAGCTCCTTCTGCACTCAGCTGAGCCAAGGGGTGATTTTTGCAGGAGGAGCTACAGGCATTTAAATTCCTTCTTGGGAACTTGGTTCCCATGAAATTAAGATGCTCACCACCTGAACCTTGCTCTGAACCTCTGCCTGAGTCCTCAGCACCCAAACACACCACACACACACACATCCTAGTGATGTTTTGAAATTGGCATGTCACTGAAACAATGTGCCACAGTACATAGATAGGACTGTAACTAGGAAATGGTGGGAAAAGGCAGCAATCTTTCTCAGTAGTTTGTAGTCATCATTATCTCTCTGATTTTTATTGTACATTCAGGTAAAAAGTGCCAGCCCAGCAAATAGCGCAGAGAACTCACCCGTCAACTCAGCAACGGCTTTAAAAAACCGGCCTTTATCTGTCATGGTCACGGGGAAGGGAACAGTCCTACAGAAAGCTAAGGTAACACATCAGTTGTACAGGAGAAAAATCCATTTGGGACAGCCACTGCTTTTCCCTCCTTGCAGTGGAGCAGATGGGCTGTGATGGGAGGGGTTGTGGGAGGTCTCATATCTTGGGAAGCACCCCTGACCAAGCACCATTCAGAGCACATCAGCCTGGTTTTCCTCCAGTCTTTTCACCTGGGTTTGCTTTGCCTGCAATTTAAATGAATAAATATGTGTATTGCTTATAATGAAGAGATATCCTGCAGCCAAAACCACTGAGGCACCAGATGATCACGTTGATTCTGTGCACTTTACAGCTACTGTGGCTTGCCAGATTTGCATTTTTACTAATTTGCCTTTATTCCTTGGCAGGAATGGGAGAAAAAGGGAGCTAGTTAGAAGCATGTTTTTCAGAGATGGACTAAAGACTCGAATTGCCCGTGCATGGCCCAGAGGATTCAACCATCTGTAGGTGGAGGTTGGGTGTGCAACACAACCACACACCAGGCACCTCCTCCACGTCGCGCCAACTCCTCAGACGCAGCAATGGACTCAACAGCTGCCAAAATGAGTTATCCCAAATGATCTTGCTCTTTTCCAGACAAATCCCAATCACGTAGCTAAAACAATAACAACCAGTGGCAATCCTTCCATCAAAGTCCTAACCCAGCTGATGTAAACAAGAATGTTACTGTACATAGGGGTGTTTTGTGTATTTCTACTCTGAAGGTTTATCAATGAGTTATTAAGGTTTCTATATTACTGACTGTAGTGGGTTCAGAAGGGGCCTCTGCTATTCTTTATACCCTGGTGGGTTTCAACCTATCCCGGTAAATTGCAGTGAACTAAAGTCTCACCTGCCTTGCTGCCAGTCATCATTCAGCTGCACTTCATCCAGCCTTCAGTCAAGGATGATTCCCACACCTGAGCAATGCTTGAAACACGAATGAGAAGCACACAGAAGCCTGTCCAGGGCCTTTTAATCAGTGTCCTGGTGCATTCCAGCATTTGCTTACTCCTACCAGCTGCAGATTTGACAGAGTATTGAGCTGGTCACCTTCTCATGCTGTAAGTTGTGTTACAGACTGGCAGCACCAAGAGCTCTGGGCAAAGAAGGTCTGTGAAGCAGATTCGGTTAATTTTCTTGAAGATCTTGGTCTCCATCACCTGAGGAGTTTGGTCTGGGAAAAAAAAAAAAAAAGAGAAATCATATTTGAAGGCCTGCTCAGTTCTTTTCTTGGAAAGGCGGATCTCAGTGTATCCTTCAGGGCTTGCCCTTTCCCAGGAGAGGGGAGGTAAAGCTGTCCCCATGCTCCTGCCCCTGCTGTAATGGTCTCTGATCCTCACAGAGCTGCAGCTGTACAATCTGCTGAAGACATCCCTGTGCAGAAGGGGCCCCTCCACACAGGCAGGGCTGAGCAGCCTGCCCTGCAGTGAGGCTGCACTGCCACATCTCTGGTGAGCTGCTGGCCATCTTGGTGCTATCACCCTTATTTCCAAATTATTAAACACTGGGCCCTGGCAGTGTGGCCCACAAAGCCCACACCTCTCTGCCCTAGCCACGCTTTCTAATGAAAATGTTGGATATTTGAAACTGCTAAACTTAGAGACATTGAAATTTGAAGAGGGGGCGGGTTGGCACAAATCTATGCACACTCTCCTCCCTTTAGCCTGCTGTCATCTCTGATGGCCTAGGGACACCTCTGCCTATCTCCTCTGATGGTCCTTCAGCCCTGGAGCCCAGGCTCAGTGACTCGGTTGGCTGTACAGGGCTGGAAGTGTTTTCCAACCCTACAAAGTTAAAGCAACACCAGTTCCCTAGCTGGGTTCTTCCTGGAGTCCTGTAGCTACACCAGTGAACAGCACCCAGAGTCAGGGTAAAGGCAGATAGGAAAAATGTTTTACCTTCCTCACCCTTGAAAATCTTTGACAGGCTTGAGATGATCTCTAAAGGGATGTTCCTTCTCCGCACAAAGGCCAAACAGCCAAGGGGTTGCACAGAGCTGTGAGATCTAGAGCTGGTGGTGGCACTGGGGTGAGTGAGAATGTGCCCAGAAGGGTACCTGGAAGCAAAAAAGGAGAACTTGCTCACATTTTTTTTTTTTACTTTAAAAGTGTCCACTGTGGTGCAAATAGAGAAATTGCTAATTCCAGACCTCAGGAGTAGTTTTATCAGCCCTAGCTGTCAGGTTGTCCCCGTGAAAGGACTTGCATGTAGGAAAAATTCATACAAATAAACCACTGAATCTTCTAGTTCAGGACCCTGGGGATTTCCCTCTCCACAGCACAGGAAGGCCACAGACACATGAAGCCTTTGTTTTGACCCATGATGAACTGGCAAGAGACCCTCTCTACACACTAAATATACATGTAGTACTATGCTCTCACCATACACCCACTGTCATCCTCCAGAAGTTGTCCAGACATTTCACAGTGGTACTGAGACAGCAATGGAGGAGAACAGCTCCGCTTTCCCCTCCACAGCCCAGTCGGCTTCAGTGATCCTGCTGGGATGTCTCCATCAGGGGATGGTAAACATAGGCAAGGCCTGAACAACACACTTCCCCAAAACAAGAAATGTTAAACAATGTCTCTGCCTCCCCATTGTTTTCCTAACTCAAGGCATTTCCTTTGTTGTAACTGTGACCTATCAAGTGGCGCTTTAGAGGGTTTTATAATAAAATGTTGAGTATATTATGTTACCAGTGTTTTTCTTTGTAATGTGGCTTGTCCCTGCTCTACTTTTCAGCAGATTTCAAGTATATCAAACCCCAACACTATTAGTTCCTATTAAGTTCCTTAGCTATGCAGCCTACAACTGCAATGGACTATAGCTTAAATAATTTATTCCTCTGTGATTGCAACATGAAGCAAAATAATTTTCAAAGATCTAACACAATGAAAAATAGCAGTTACCTCAACAATTTGTATGAATATATGTAATGGATTCCTGCCTGTATCTCCGTAGACAGCAGTCTTGCACAGAACCAGCCGTGAAAAATGCTTCCACTACCTTCCTCTGGCCACTAGATAGCAGCTGTGTGTAGGCTTAGCGCCTGCTGCAGTCACTGAGAACCAGGATGAGCTTTAGCTGGAAACTAAGGAAAAAAGTTAGTAGAGAAGGTGGTTGAGGCCAGTCTTTGGACACCAGACACCTCTGTGAAATACCTTTCAGTGGCTGTACGACCACTAGTTCCACTCCTGCAGAAAGTTTGGGAAGGCACTGTAGCTATGGCACAAAATCCTGGGGAAGGTCTCCCCTAGCCCACCCATTGACACAAACCTGCCAATGAGGCTGTTAGTGTCCTGCCAGCCTCTGAGCCCAGGAATCCCCAAAGCACAACTCCATTTAGAGTGGCTGGTTTTGTGCACTCAATGGGCAGCAGCAGCAGTTGCATTCCTCCTTCCCCAGCGGCGCTGCCCATCACCTATGGCTGATTTGGAACACCTGGGTACCAGCTCCAGCTGATAAAGTCACTGCTTTGTTAGTCACTCCCAGTGTAATTCTCACCTGTGCACAATGCAGCCAGGCCACTTGGGACCTGCAGTGTGTCTCATGCAGAAGAGAGACACTTCTGGAGGGAAAATTGCTGCTACAAACCATTTTTCTTAGCGAGTTTCTCACTTAAGTACCTCCACACTTCTTGCTGTGGATACATGGAACAACCGTATAAAAGCTCCTGGGGGTTCCTGATTAGCACATCAAGATTGCCAGTGGGCACACTGATTTTCAACTAAGAAGTGCCAGTTTTTAAAGGACGAAAAAAAAATCTCATTGGTGGAAAAGCTGACCTGAACATTTATGTAACTTGTCCTGGGTATGAATCAAATTAATTTATTTCTATTGAAGAGAGTAAGATTGCAGGGGTTTTCCAAGCTGAAGAAGCCAATTAACTTTAAGGGGAACATCAGCAGACCTCTTGCAGGATGACCTGGGTTTTCAGTACCCAGTGAGGGTGGCACAGTGGAATCCAAATCCCAGGTTCCCTACTGCAGCCGTTACAGTACAGGTACCATACACATTTACTTACCACCAAACTGCCATGATTTTGCTTGCTGAGGGAAGGTGGGACTAAAGGGGGTGACATCCATGAAACTTACTTAAATCCCAGTTTTTTAAAGGAGAAACAGGCTCCCTCCTGGAGCGACCACATGACTCGTGATCAGCCAAGGCTCACCCAGCAGTCCTACAGAGTGAGAGTAATTCATGGCTCTGTTAGTCACAGCAGCCCAGACATCTAATGATGACCTGGCACAGACAGCATCCTCTGCACTGCCTTGATGCCAGAAAGGATTTGTGCTGGCTTTGCAGGGACCCCACCTCCTCAGTGCCCTTGCCAGCCTCAAACATTGACCCAGCCTTAAGGGAATGAGCTCCCATCAGGTGAAGTCTCATTAAATATTTCTGATTGAATCAAAGCTAGTCTGAGAGATGAATTTAATAAGGAATCATGTCAGAGATCCAAGCCATTTACCTACTTACTCTTAATTAAAATTTGCAAGAGAAAGGGCCTAGAAATTAGCCAAGATTTTCAACTCAAATTTTTAAAAAGAAAATAAAAATAGCTCCAACAACGGCTCAGTGGTGTCCTGCTTGCCTGTGGGATCAGCAGGTCTCTCAAAGGCCATCCCATATATCAGCCTCTGTTACCAGCCTGGCTTTTCCGATCTCCTCCAAAGCTCCACCACCTTCTTACCTTGCAAAGTGATTTGTCCCATACAAAAAGGAGAGCTGGTGGGCACTGCCACTGCCAGAGCATCCATCTGAGGATCCATCCAAGGCTTCAGTGATCAGTCACATTCAGGAAAAAAGTCACAGCACCTGTAGATCCCTGACAGATGGGGATCCCTGGGGCACTCTGGGTACTGAGACCTCAGCCAGATGTTCCCAGAGCCGAAGGGCTGGGTTTAGAAACCAGCTTTCCTGAGCTGCTCCATGAGTTTCCAATTTTTCATATCATTTCTGCTTGAGAAACTGATGCACATGGCTAGATGTATCTCATCTAGCATTAAAATGTTGTCTCCAGCATGAGATTTTGTGGTCTGTGATTCCTGAATCCTACAGAGGTGTTTGTGCATCTGTGCTTAAAACAGCAGGATGGTAAAAACACAAGGTTTCCCCAACTCAGGACCCCGGCGAGCATACTTTGTCCCAAGGAAAGCCCCCACGCACTAAAAACATACCTACTATCTGTGCATTCAAATAAAGAACTCACAAACTAAGATTACATCACAACACATTTGCCACAAGGCAAAGTTCTCAGCAGCACTGTACAACTACCCTGCAGGAAATGCCTTTAGGCACTTGTACGAGGGCAGGTAAGCATGTCCCAGCTCCAGAGCTGTGTGCTGGACAAGGTAAATGTGCTGCTGTTTGAGAGGGCAGACTGATCCCATAGAGGACAAATGCCTGTGAGGAGAGAACTAACGATGCTGTTAGACAAACAATGGCAGAGAAGCCCCCAGAGCTGCAAACCCCCCAGGACAGCGGGGGTGAGAACTGGGGTCCCTTGGACCCTCCACACAACACAGGATGTGCAGGGAGGCTGGGGAGACTTTTCAGAGCAGCCTGAATAGCCAGCTCCACAGACCCTTCTGTGCCATAAAACACGAACCAGGTCTTTGGTGTCAGCTGAGGGTCTGATCTAGCCCATTCTCCCCACGAGAAGAGAAGACTGACAGTTTAACAACAGAGGCAGTGCTGAGCTACAGCCATGCCTAAGTAACATTAATAGATTAGATTCTCTTTGTATCCCAAATGTCAGTCCTTCAACTAAGCCTCTATTCTGCTATGCCTTAGGACACAGACAACCTACTAAAGTGACAGTGAAAAGAAAGGAAATTCTCCTTTCTCCTAGCCTGGTTTCTCCCACAAGGCATCACAGTGCTGCTCCTGTCTCAGTGCCAGCTTTTATCCTTGAGAGTGCTTTCAGACCATTCATCTTTTGACAACAAACCTGCAGAGCAATTTGTGTCTCTCTTTGTCCATCTAATGTTACTATTCAAACATGGGGCCAGGACATCTGGGTGAGGGGATTTTTCTTCTGTGAACAACAGACAGTATTCTCATGAGCGCTGGCAGCCACAGTTTTTACCTCTGCCTCAATCTCCTCCAGACCTGCTCACGCTCTCTTGATGTGACAGACACCATGGGAAAGGCAGCGGGAACACAACACTGAGAACTGTGGGCTCTGGGGGAGTAGTTAT